ACTAAAAAACCAAAACTAGCTCTTTTGAATCCGGAGATAAATAGGAAAAGCCGAAAATTTTGAAATCATATATTTTTTTGTATCATTTCTATTCGCATTTATATTGAAAATATGTTTAGACTTTGCCACTGGAACATTCATTAATATCAGAATATGGTCATACATTTTTTATTCAGGCGCCCTCAACTTTGAAATTTTGATTACGAACGTACATTTTTTGTAGCAAATTTTGATCTTTTATGTTCATATAATATCGTAATCATATAATGCCATATTCAATGTTTCTTCGATTTTTCCGAGAGTTTCGGTGATATGGTTATCAAAAAACTTTTTCATTACGGGCCTGATGATGTCTCCAATGGAAACAATTCTAACTTTCTTTATGTACCACAGCTTACTCTCAAAATTTACCAAGTGCCTGAAATGTGTTTATATCACAAAATTTTGATGTTTTCATTTTTCCAAGAACGTACATATTCCAAAAATATACATTTTTCTGTTCAACCCCCATTTCGGCTCTCGATAGATAGATACATTTATTCATCGCTAAAGTTTTACAAGTTCCAGAATGTAAACCTATCTTTTTAAAAATCATCAGATTAGTCAGACATACAAAAAAATATAAACAACGTAAATAGTGTCCGACCGAAAGCTCGGTTTTAGCGGCAAACCTGCCGAAACTACAACCGAAACTGCATTCGGGAGTTCCCGCGCTGTGATCGGTCATGTTCGGCGCGTTGAATTTCATACAAGCGACGAAGATATTTTGCCAAGTCCACGTGCCTAATCATGTCATGACTCCTTACTTACTTTGTGATTTACTTTGTTCATTACATAAATATTAAGTACCTATTGTGATATTAGGTAACAACTTAAATAAGTAATTTTATGTTTAATATTTTTGAAAAACCATCAATAATATTCGAAAGAAGGATCTACAACTACTCAAATAAACAGGTGCAATTAATACTTTTTCTTAAATAAGGGTTTATGTTGATTATCAATAAGTAAAAATGTTGAAGAGTGCATAACGTTGTGATTTAAAGATAAAAAAAATAAGACTGACTGATTGTTATAACGTTTTCTTTTCTTTCTTCGGCCGAAACTGAAACCGTTGCCGAAATTCGTTTTTGGTTTCGGTCGTAAAAACCAGTTTCGTTCGAACACTAAAAGTAAAAAATATATATACAACATAAAAATAAAAGCATAACCTTAATATTCAAGGTCTGTACACCATTCATAAAAAACTATAAACAATTTTGAAAGACAACATGACCAATCAAACATGTTCAGCAGTGTGAGTATAACAAATTATATCGTGGTACATATATGAATTCTGCTCCAGTCCTTACCGAGAAAATGGTCAACAGTTACAATTAGCATTGTGAATGCCACAATCATGTATGATAAAGCCTTCCTCATGGCTGAAATGATCCTTTGTACCCTGAAAAGTTATTAAATATATATATAGAAGCATGGCAGATTTAGCCTAACGAGAAAAATATTTCTTTCTTACAGTTCTCCCGTGGTTTGACTCTCATCATACATCTAAAAAAAATTCTGTAATAATAATACTCCAAAAAATGAGGCCAAAGATCAGTGTTGAATGAACAAGACCATAAAAAGCCAGCTAAGAGGTTCTAGAGAGATGGTTTCTTATAATTGTCTAATAACAAAGGATACACTGCTCAGTTTGGATAGAATATGATCTGTATGAACATTCCACGTGAACTTTCGTTCAATATGTTTTCAAGAAATTTAGAATATTCTACTCGTTCTATGGACCAATGATTCATTCTTATCAGTGGACCATAGTCAATACTGATATTTTTTGTTGAAATAGCACGAATCATTATTCTCACACCATTGGAAGAATTCATTCCCACGTTTTGCAAGTTGTAACAGAGCCTGTTAACAATCTTTTAGGCACTAACTAATTTATATAATATGCATAGATAAACATTTCATTATGAAGATGTACATGAATATATAATGTCATTAATGATGGCAACAAAATAAGAGCCTTGTGGTATGCCAATTGTTACATTCAATGGTTCAGATTTCACTTTGTCTACAACCATAGCACAGTAGACTATGTAGACTATAACCAGTAGGGTCTCTTACCACGTGAATTCGCCAGAGTTGCCGGGGACCTTCAACCACTGTTAGGATGAGATTCTCATCCAAAGCGTTCAGAGCTGTAGTATCGAAGGTTTTGACGGTCCCACGGGCATCGAATTAGTAGTAATACGGCCGGAATTGGCTCTGCACTTTGTTTCGAGGTCACCGAGAAATTTTTGAATTTATGAATGAAAGTAATGGGAGTGTTCTTACTGGTTGATTTTTACTATAACTATAGTCCATATAGTTTCTGTAGTAGTAGGCTGTAATCTGTAGTATCGAAAACCATATTGAGATCCTAATAAACTGCTTTTTTATCATTCAAGTTGTCATAAATATGGTTACATAACGCTTTTAATGCAGTTTCTATGGGTTTTTTCATGTCTGCAGCCATGTGGACAATTTGGGAAAGGGTGATTTTGTTCCATAAAACTGGTTAACCGTTAGAGAAATTGCATACTTCAGAAACCATTAATAACAGTTCAGACTTTTGCTGGTATCCTTTATTTTGGTTCAATTTTGCGACCGATATTTAAAATTTCTCGACTTCTTTAAGTCATCCGTGATTCAATGTTGAAGCACAATTTCATTGTTGTATTCAGTTTTCCTTAAATAACATTGTAGTAAACATGTGTAAAACAACATTTCTTCAACAAGAAATGTTCGAGTCTCGTTTGTGATCTTTTGCAAATCTAAGCTTTGACATTAATAATTTTTGAGCTGCGGTTTCATCAAGTTGCCTTGCAATGAAAGTTGCAGAGAGATATAAGCTTGGCCGTTCACCTTGTATAAGCAATTAATAAATTTTCCGTCCATGCCCTAAATGACGTCTTCATAAGAAATGTTTGGAGATTGTAACAAAAGAAGACCATGGCAAATCCCGGAAACCAACCAAAACATTTACTTCGTTATGTGTAAGTAATTAGTCCAATGATTACTTATGAGATTGAGTAATGAAATTAGAAATGAATAATTATGAATGACAGATAACATTTATCATATTTCAAAAATTGCGCCGAAATATTCTCAACGTCCACTTCGACCCACCTCTTTAGAGGCGTTTTCTGGCGCTAATGTATTCAAAGCGTAGGTATTCGTCTTGGATTCAAATACATTCATTCTGGCATTGAAACATGCCGTCACATCAACTATGATGGTGATTCAAAACTAGCGTGAGGTTGGTTTTGATACGGAGTTTGATATTATGTCGTGTCAGTTGTCAGTTTCTGCTTTATTTTGATCGTTATAGTTTATAAAGTGCTGAAAACTTTTCATCAAATACGTTGTAAGGATGTACAAAATAAAGCTGGAAAATAATTACTTGCACAAATCCGATTATAATTGACGTTAGAGAAAATTGAAAAGTTTGTTTTTTTAATGAATCATTAGAATCATTACACTCTGGCGAATCTTATTATAGATGACGTAACTACGAATCGTTTTTGAGTTTTTGAATACACGCCACGAATACGATTAAACCATTGTCAAGAAGGATTTTGGCCAGAAATCACCTCAGATGGGTCGTTGTGAGCTTGCCGTGAGCGAAAATAATGATATCATGAGTGACGTTTTCGAAGCGACCACGGTCATTATGTGGAACGGTTATATTAGCATTTTGATTGTTATGAGCGCTTAGTGGAACGATTGGCTTGTGAGCTAGTGCTATAATTACGCTCAGAGTAATAAAAAATGCTCTAAGATAATTATTCCGGCCGTACACGGACAACATATTTGCAGTTGAGGCAACCACAACATTGTGGTAACGTTGACTGCACTTCGGGGTTGACCCACCCACATTTTCGTGGTCGACTTGCGGTCATATAAACCGCACTTGCAGTTGAGGCAACTGACATCAAAAATTGAATGCTGAGACCAATATGAGAAAAAGTACACCATGGTGTACGCGGTTGGGTACGACTGCAAGTTTGTGGTTAGTGTACGGCGGATGCCGCGATGACATTTCGGCGAAGATCAGCAGCAAGTTGACTGCAGATGTCCGTTTTGACCTTTGTGAACGCCCGTGTACGTGTAGTACAGCATTTCTTATGGGCGGCTTGAGTTCGCTGGAACGCGACTGCAATTGTGTGGTTGATCCGACCGCAAAATGTGGCTCGTGTACGGGCGCTCTTACGTATCAGAAAATGTAAAAATGTGAAGTTTGTTCGACCAATGTTTTATAAATTGTGAATGCATTTTGTGATCACGCATAATGTAAAACTTATCACTTATTTCTTTCAAATTTCACTTTAAATTCACTTTAAAAACATTGAAGATATAAGGATTATAGGATTAAATGGTGGCCGAGTTTTATATTTCATTGTTAATAATTATGATTTCCTTCGTAATTGTCAATATCACTAGTCGGAATAATCAAGATTTTTGAGTTTAAAATGTGGTCAATTCCAGAAAAATATTAATTGCAATGGATAAATGAAAAGTGAATGCATTCGATATCATAAATCATTATACTGAGAAAGTTATTGTGGATTCAATTTTCGACTTTAAAGTGGTACTCGTGTTGTACTCGATGTTGAAAAATTTAAAAATTGATCTCGCGCGCAAGATCTAACTATTACGGTCCATAAGATTTACGAAAAAATATTTGCCTGCTGACACCACTGGTCGTTACTGTCAAAGTCAAACAACTTTAAAACACGATGTCAACTGTCAACTAGGTAATAATAGGAGATATGATAATATTTCATTATTACTAATTAATGTTTACTCAAAAACAAAATTGAATAAAAAATGGTTTGAAAAGATAGAAATGGACTACTTTAGGAGTGGATTGAAATCGGTCCTGGGGGCTTCGCCTCCTGGCACCCAGCCGACAGGCCCTGAAACAGTAGGTATGAAATTTATTAACATATGCTTATTGATTGATACAATTATTTATAGGTAGAAAGACTCGTCAGTAGGGTAAGCACATCAACTTTACTTGAAGATAGACGTGATGCTTGCAGAGCCCTTAAAGCCCTCTCTAAAAAATATAGACTTGAGGTCGGTGCACAAGGACTGGATGTTTTGAAGCAGGTTTTGGAATTGGATCATAGTGATTTTGAAACTGTAGGTTATTGTTTGGATACCTTATGTAATATAACGTCAAAGGAAATATTTGAAGAAGAAAATGAGTCGATGAATATGCAAGTGAATGTAGGAGAACAGTTTACGGAGATGTTTTTGAAAAATTCAGAAAATGTTGCACTAGTTTTGAGGTTCTTGGAGGAATATGATTTTAGAGTACGGTGGCCTGCAGTTAAACTACTGAATTCTCTCACGTTATCAAAACCGAAAGAAATACAGGATATAATTTTGGTTTGTCCGATGGCTGTTTCAAAGTTGATGGATTTATTATTAGAAAATCGTGAAGTCATAAGAAATGATGCTCTAGTTTTACTTATCAATTTAACCAGGTCCAACGCTAATATACAAAAAATAGTTGCATTTGAAAATGCTTTTGACAGATTGTTTGATGTAATAAAAAATGAGGGTTGGACTGATGGAGGAATAGTAGTGGAAGACTGTTTTCTTCTTTTGTTGAATCTTCTAAAGAACAATGCTAGTAATATAAACTTCTTCAAGGAAGGCTCCTATATTCAGAAACTTGCTCCAATGTTCAATTTACCTCCAAATTTAGAAGAAGTGGGTTGGAGCCCCCAAAAAATTTCCAATTTTCATAGTGTTCTGTGGTTGGTGCGAACCTTGGTTTCACCTAATAATCCAGCACAAATAATTACTGCATGTCAGAAAGATATGCGTAATACAAATTTATTGGAGTCTTTGTGTGATATTTTGATGGCTAGTGGAGTACCAGCAGACATTCTAACAGAAACTATAAATACTGTTGGGGAAGTGATTCGAGGAAACCTAACCAACCAGGAGTATTTCTCAAATGTATTGGCTCCTTCAAATCCGCCTAGACCAGCAATTGTAGTCCTGTTGATGTCAATGGTGAATGAAAAGCAACCTTTCACATTGAGATGTGCCGTATTATATTGTTTCCAGTGTTTTTTATTCAAAAACGAGATTGGTCAAGAACTTGTCGTTCAAACATTGCTACCCAGTAATACTGGATCTGGAGCTCTCACTACAGGACAATTGTTATGCAGTGGTTTGTTCAGCAACGATCACTTGAGTAATTGGTTTTCAGCTGTAGCTCTCTCACACTGTTTAATAGACAATCCAGCACAAAAAGAACAGTTACTGAGGGTCCTCTTGGCTACAAATTTGGGAGCACAACCTGTTAGCCTTCTCCATCAGTGTGGTGTATTTTTACAGCACACCAGCAACCTGCAGGCCAAAATAGGAATACTAATGTTGATTGCTAACTGGATGGCATATTCTCCTCAAGCTGTTAAAGTATTATTGAATGTTTCTGGTGCGATGGCTTATTTGACAGCACAAGCGTCAGCAAGCGAATATGACAATAATGAAGAAATTTTGCAGGTAAGATATCACGTCTGTATTACGTTAATATTTAATTCTAAATAGTTAACACCTAACAGGTGTTTTCACTGCTAAAATTTCCAATACTATCTTTCAAACTACTTTCTTTGGATGTGAACAGATGATGGTACCCCTATTTTCAGCCCCTATACAGTGCCTTTTGGTTTCCAAGCAGATTCTTTAGTCAACTATGAAAGGCCCTTTGCTTTGAGGTGTAATAGTTAATATATTGTGTGGCCAGGTGATATAACATGTGGAATATTCTAGTATATTAACACTCAAGATTCTTCTCAATATTCATATGAAAAATTTTTCACAAAAAATGTATCTTGAAAATTATACTCCTTTCAATTTAGAAAAAGAATTTAACGTATCACTTGAATTTGGTAGGGTAGCAGAACATGGATACACAACATATATTATCAAAAAATGCCTCTTTGTGAACATATTTAATGTTTCGAATTTCGTAAAAATAACTTTAGGAGTGAAATGACTGCCTTAATCTGTCTCTTGCAATAGCGTACGGAAATTATTCTAAACAGATGAGGAAAAATGGTGATGAAATATATAGAATCACAACCTTGACAATATTTTCGTTTTATTGCAATAATATTTCTGAGAACTTAGTGCCTACTATTATGGAATTGTACTTTTTTATAGCATAACGACAATTAGTCGATACATTGCTTATAACAAAACAAAATTATTTACAGAACTATAAGATAACATCATTATTAATAATAATGTTTATTCAACAACAAGAAATTAACAAAAAGCAGTTGAACATTACATGAATACCATGAAATAAACATAGGTTAGGTTAGGTCCAAAGTTAGTGGGTCTATTCGACCCTCCACCGCAACCCGCAAGGGTTTATTGTGGCAAGTTTCATCACAGGGGAAGGTGATTTTTTTATTTTGGGTGATACTCAAAACCCATCTCTGTAAAACATTAACTTTTTCTAGGTGACAGTCAAGAATACCTCCCCAACCCAGGATACCATAAGATAAGTGAGACACCGTTGGAGTCGTAAACTCGACATCCATCTCCTCTGGAGACTCGCTCCTGAATTAAATTTACAGGGAAGTCAGTTGGAGTCGTGAACTTGACAACCGTCTCCTCTGTAGATTTGCTCTTGAACTAAATTTACAGGGAGGTCATTTGGAGTCGTAAACTCGACATCTATCTCCTCTGTAGACTCGCTCCTGAACTAAATTTACAGGGAGGTCAGAGTCATAAACTCGACATCCATCTCCTGTATAGACTAGCTCCTGAACTAAATTTACATGGAGGCCCGTTGGAGTCGTAAACTCGACATCCATCTCCTCTGTAGACTCGCTCCTGGATTAAATTTACAGGGAGGTCAGCTGGAGTCGTAAACTCGACATCCATCTCCTCTGTAATAAACATAGGTACTCACAGAAGCAAGTGATTGCTTGTTCGTGAGAGAAAATCTACTTGGCAATTACAATGTAGGGGTGTTGCGATACTATCCTTTTTTATAATTTAGAAATTAATCGTTATAGGTCAGCTATGCTGAAGTTCTCACATTCGGGAAGTTATCATAATAGGTGTTGTTATTTTCACTATTGGTACTTGTGTCAGAATCGGAAAATGGTAGTTTTTTCATTATTAATTACATTTTATTGTTCATTAGGTCACTAAAGAATATCCTATATGTATTAAGAATCCATTTTTTTCAAATTATGTTTAAATGAATTTTCATTACTTTCAATTTTAATTGTGGAGGTAAGTTGATATATAATTTGGGGCCTAGATACAATACACTTCTCTGTCCAATATTTTTGTCACATTTTGGGATCTTCACCAATTCGCTTTTACCATGAGTGGCGTGATTATGTTCTATAGGTTTGAGCTCAATTAAAGATCGGTGAATACTCAGAATTATTCTTTGACAGTATAACTGTCTTATGTAGGGTATTTTGCTCAATGAAAAAGTTTCATCACAGGGGAAGGTGATTTTTTATTTTGGATGATACTCAAAACCCATCTCTGTAAAACATTAACTTTTTCTAGGTGACAGTCAAGAATACCTCCCCAACCCAGGATACCATAAGATAAGTGAGACTGAATTAATGCAAAATAAACTGTTTTTGAGTGATGAATTGCCAGAAAATTCGCTAAATACCTGAGTCTACCAATCAGTCCTCTATTTTTTTTTGTCATAGAATTGGCATGAAGGTCCCACCGTAAATGTCTGTCCATAATAATGCCAAGATACTTAACGAACTCAGTTTCTGCTATTTGAGTGTTTTAATCAATTTTTAGATTTCCTAGTTGTGGCAAATTATGTTTATATGAAGTGAATGTCATATAGTAAGTTTTATCAATGTTCAGTATGAGTTTGTTGTATTGAATCCATTTTGTAATTGTCTTAAAATCAGTCTATCAGTCTCTGCCTCATGTTGTAAATCTTACCAGTTATCTGCAGTTATGATGCACTGTTTGGAACCATTGGTGTAGTAATGAATATTACTGTAGTTTCATTCCCAACACCAAATCGTTATTTTTAACACCTCGACACGTGTTTCGATCACCAAGTGATTATCTCCAAAGAGGAAGATTAAAACTGTTAAAACTGTTAAAACTCCAGTAATATTTATTAGTTATCTGCAGTGTAAATAATTGCAGTGAACTGTGCCTTTTGATATGCGAAGTAGTAGGCTATTCAGGTATAACGTGAACAATAACAAGTGAATTAAGATATGACATTGCAATAAGCTTTAGTTATATTATCTGCGATCATTATTTTTCTAATACTATAGTCCATTATATTCTATTTTTATCGTTTATCATATGTCACCTGGTGATATATCCAATATTTTAAAAACAATAATCGATGAGGTTTGGACAAAATTCAATGTTGGTTTTCAAAATAATCAGTTGGTCAGTTTATTAAACATTTTCACGAATGTAAGATGTTCAGACTGTTATTCAAAAAAACAGTATCAACAGATTTGAAATCTTGAAAAGATAAATGAATGAAATATAATCAGGACCGAAATATTTATATTATAAGAAAGCTAATTTGTAATGAACGAAATTACTGTGACCCATAATGAAAGTGAATCTAGAAAGTGTGTTGAACAATATTTGAAATATCAGCAATATACAACCGATAAAAATGAAGAAAAGTTGTGGTGAAGAAAGAAAAAAGAATAATTACAATTTCTGAGCAAGCTATCTCACAACTTTTTGATTGTTAATAACTACAGACGTCTTTGAATAATAATTTACCTAATAAATCTTAAATTTAATATTTTTTATCGTTGAAGGTGACTAATAACTCTTTTATGATTTTATTCACCTTACACTATATTTGTTTTAAATTATATGTATTTATGTATGTTATTTTGTTAAAAAAATATATTTCTAGTCAAGAATAGTAGTAGGAAGGAATGAATAATAAATATTCAGGTTGTATTTTCTGAAAATGAAAGATGACTGTGGATATTACTCGATTTAGATTATTTGTTTCATCTGCAAATCAAAAAGTCTACAAATTTCATTATTATCTTTTTCAGGGTCTTTGTGCATTTGTAATGGGTCTTTGTGTTGCTTTCAATGACAACTCCGTTCAAAATTACTCAAAAGAAAATTTGAGCCAACTCATTGAAAAACGAGTTGGAATTGAAACGTATTGTAAAAAATTATCTGAAATTTCCCGTCATGAAGTTTATGCCAAAGCAGCGAAACAACCCCAAATCAGAGCCAACCATTCCAGTGAATTATTATTAGAATTCGAGTTTTGTAAATTATTCAAAGCATTAGAGGGTGTTATTATCCAGTCTTTGGGAGCACAGAGAGATTTATCCAATGGAATTTCGGAACTTAGTTTGAATGATCATGAAAATGCCTTGCTTCTACAATACAAGGAACTGATAAGAGATCAAGACAAAAAAATTCAAGAACTCCAAAAAAACATCAACAACTTGACCAAACAGAATGAGGATTTGCAGGTAAGCAAAATTGCAAAATTTGTTTAATTTTTTAAATTTTTTTGTAGATTTTTGTATCAATTTTATTTTATTTATTTGTCAATTTATGTATTCATTACAGCTTCATTTACAAACATATAATTCAAATAACATATTGGAACCAATAAATTGATGGATGTAGCCGTTACTACGTGGTAGGAGATCATGATGAAAAGAGAAATGAAAATTTTTATGTTTTTCACATAAAAGTGGTAAAAAACATAGAAATTTTCATTTCTCTTTTCGTATTGGAACCACTCGTAGAACATTAGCAAGCAAAATAACTTCGCAATAAAAATAATATATGAATAAACAAAAAATCCTGTGCACTAACACATTCTGAAAAAACAAGCTATGAACGAAAGTTTTGAATTCAGAGAGAAATATGTCTAAAATACTTTTTTTAAATGATCCAAATCAACAAAAACAGTATGAATATGCAAATATATTTGTGATGCACTGTTTGGAACCTTTGATGTAGTAATGAATGTTAATGGCATTTTTTTCTCAACACCAAACCGTTACTTTAACACCTCAACATGTGTTTTGATCACCAAGTGATCATATTTAAGAGGAAGAAACTCCAGTAATATTCTTTAAGCAAATATATATTGAAAATCTTATCAATATTTATAGAAATGAATAAGTTTCATTGTTCCATCTCCAGTCAATAACTGACATTAATAATGTCACTCTTATCATTAGTTAGTTTTTGGACGTGACGTTCTATATTCAAAAGATTGACACCATCACCATATCTCGTTTTCATAAGGTTTTTGTTATTATCATTAATTTAAAACAGTTTTATCCTCAATTTACCTTGAGTATGTTTTCCATATTTATGTGCTAGCTTGGTACTTGAATTTGAAACTGTCACCAAGCAGAGCACATGAATATGGCAAGTGTAAAACATAACACGTAGCTGAATATAGTTTCAGATAAGTTAAATTGCAGTTAAACTGAAATGGTTTGATTCTCAAGGCTCAAATGGTTTGCTAAGAAGACTTTATATTTTTTGATCATCTGAAGTACAGGTACGATGGAAAGGGATATTTCTCAAATTCAATTATTGCTGATGTCATCGAAAAAATAAGACATGTCTAGATCAAAAACGCTTAGACTCAATTCCAGAGTCCTGTTTGAGTAGGATAAAGCTGTAGGAACATCGGTAGATATTATTTCAAAGACAACAATAGCATTCTTTCTCAGTTTTCTGTGGAGAGTTTGAAACTGCTCTGATATCTAGAGATTCTCGCCTTTGTTTTGAGATCCTATTATTTACAAAATTCAATTCTTTCTTGATTCCCTGTAGATGATCGTTTGTTTTCCCAATTATTATCTGGGCTTTTGATCAGACTTCCCCTGCCCACAACAACGTTGCTTGAGGATTCATTAATATACAATGGAATACAGATATAAATAATTTATTCATCATTCATGTTTTTTACACAACGGTACAAAAGATGTATAATAAAATTCCCATACCAAAAGAAAGAAATACAAATGCACGGAGTCACCAGCAGGAGCCAGCCGCACATTTGTGGTTTCAGTT